ATCACGAATCTTTCCTATTAATTCGATTATAATTTGAATAATTTATTTCAAAATTTTTCTCAATTTATATTTAGTAATTTGCTTGATTATTTCAATTTCAGATTGTCTTTCTTCATTTTTTAAGTTTTAGGAATAATGGGAAGGGATCTTTATTTAAAATTATCGTTTGAACTGAAATCTTAGTCTTTTAATTTGAACTCTTCGCCTTTCTCTTTTGGGCATGAATACTTTTGAAATTAATTATTTATTATTAAAACTCTAAATTTAAATTATTTAATTACAACACCGTTGGCTGCGACTAAATGGTACACTACGCTATTGTCAGCGACCGAATTTGGATTTAGAATTATTATCTTGATTTTTAATTAAGAAGTATTTAAGAAAGAAGAATAAGATTTCAGTTTTTGCAGTTGTTTTAATTTAAAATTACCTTTATTTAGTTGAGAAGGCTTTTAAACTGAAATAAATTTAAATTTTCCTAAGAGAAATATTATAAACAACAATTTGCTATAAATTTAAGAATTCAACTCTAGGTTGATGAAAATGACAATAAACACGCACGATTTATGACCGTTACTGAAAATACACTCTGACAAAACTGTTCGCTAAATAAACGAACTGAACTAACTACTGCTGCTACCGCCACTGCTTTTTCCGCACGCATATTTATAGGTGGAAAAGTCAGAACTCCCGCGCGAGTTTCTCACGATTTCCTTCTTTCGAATGCATAATTAAGAGGGGGAAGGTTCTTTCTCAGAAGTGTCATCTGAATCCTCATTGGCAATAGCCGTAGCCTGATACCAACAGGAATTCAATCAATAAATCAATAAATCAATATTTTTATCATAAAACACGCATTCCTTCATTTAAGATTTAGATAGCCGTGACAAAATAAATAGATAGAAAATGGCAACTCGAAGGACATGACGTCACGAGGGGGAAGAGGTAGATAAGATAGTAGCTACAAAGGCGAAGATGATATAAACAAATAGATAAACAGATAGATAAACAGATGGCGAAGATAATATAAACGAGTAAATAAACAAATTGCGCATAAACAGAGCGCGTGGACATGACATCAGGGGGGGGGGGCACCGCCATCGCTG